GGGGGGGGGGGGGGAAGACAGACTTCTTCATTTCATTGCCACCAAACAGAATCACACAGTTAAACTCAGCCTGTATTTGGTTGCTTAAAATTCCACGTATTTTGCAAGTGCCGTGCTACAGCAAGGTATTAATGATTCAGCACAGCCATCTAAAGCGAAGCACGTACTGAGAGATGTCAGTACAAGCAAACAAGGTATCTGTGCATTTACAGCAGAATATTTTTGGCCAGAATAAAAAGCCAGTTTTTATGCATGAAGGTACAGACTCCATTTCAATTACTGTAATACAATGGAAAGCTCCCTGAGACTTCTGTGAACGCATACTTCAGACTGGTGGGTCCACAAGCCTCTGCGCACAGAGCTGCGAAATCCATTAATGACAATCTGTGATACAAGAGTACTATTTATTTTAATCTGGCGATATTTAAAACTCCCACTCCAGAATATTCTCCTACGGACTGAGCCGCACATTTCCAGGAGACCGGGAAGGCTGGACACCCCTGCTCCAGCCAGGAAGGGGACCAGCCCCGAGATGCCCCACAGCAGGGTTTGGGGTGTTTGCTTCCACTGGTAACGCCAGTCTGGGCGTATTTCAGACAGGAATAGATCCACTGATCTCCTCAAGTCTTCCCAGCCCATTTTAAGGCTTTGTCCCCATTTTGCAAGACAAGAGCAGCTGTACTATCCTAACAGACATACACCAACCCAGTCCTCAAATCTACTGGACAAAGATTTCATAAGATCTTCATGAAATCCATTCCCCTGCTTTATGACCCATCCTACGACTAAAATGGTTTTATTCATATCTAGATTTTTTTTTTTTTTTTAATTCACATGTTAAGCCTCTGGAAAATTGACTAACCTCACCATTTCTGCAACAGCTTTTTCTGGTTTTGGAGATTGTTCAACCTCACTTCTCTGTTTCATAGCCTACATAACACCCTATTTCAATACTTCCCCGTAGGTCACATTTAGCAGACTGCTAAGATCTGCTCATTCCCACTGCTCTTTCCTGAACTCTTTCCAGCAGGTCCATGTATAGTTTGTACTCCAGCGTCAGGATGGACACAATATCCTGCCAGAAGAGGATTGCTTCACACGCCTCACTGGCTACAATCCTGATTTTATATTTAGTCGTGTGACCTAGCTGAGACAATACAACTACAGCTCACTGTAACAGCCAAGTCAATTAAAAACGTCTACCTGACCCGTGGTTCTCCACCCTGTATTTGTGTCATTACTTCAGCACAGGCACAGAGGACGGTGCTTGTTTGGACCGAGAAGCACTGCTTTTCTCCCCCTCCTCTAGTTTATGGAGATCTTTTGTAATTCTGTCCTTGTCCTCAGTGTGGGTAGAGCCTTTCTCAGCACACAAGCAGAATACAGAGGTTCTTCGTCCCAGCATTCAGACTGTTAACTACGACGCTGCATGGTAACTGATCTCTGACGCTCTTGTGCAAACTCCCTGGATACATCCCTCCACGTTCACACGGAAGCACTGATTAACTGTTCCTCAAGTCAATTTTCCCAACAGTTTCGCCCCCTTCACGCAGCAGTTTCACCCAGGCCACCTCTCCCTGCGTTGCTAGCAAGAACATGATGTCAGAGAGTCAAGACAACACGTATGGTATCTGTTCTACTACTGCTCCCTTATCAACAGGGCTTATTACCCCTGCAGAGAAAAAAAAAAAAAGTTTAACTGATGTGACACATTATATTGTTGACAAGCCCATACCAAGTAATATAATTTTCTCCTCGATGTTTCCAAGTAATTTAATTATTTTCCCAGTAGTTTTCCAGAACATGAAGTTGACAGATTGCCTTGCTTCATCTTCTTCCCTTTCACAACATTTCATTTTACTGAAGACCTTTGTTTTACTAAGTCCTGTCCATATTCCAGCGTTCTTCAGACCATCTACAACACTGATTTTTCAGCAGTCATTACAGAGAAGCGGCAGGCAAGCCAATCTTAAAAGATATTTACACGAGTAACATTTTACTGAAATATGACTTACCAATTCTCTGATGAAAGATCTTGTCAAAGGTTAATTCACCCCTTTCCTCAAGGTATTTCTGCATAACACTGCGGATACTGAAAGAAAAAAAGAAGAGGAAAGAAAAAAAAAAAAAAAAGAAGAGTTACTTGAAATTGCTTATTTTAAACGTGACCTTTATTAACGTATTTTGGAGAAAACGATCACTCAGATGAAACATCAGTGTAAGGGACTGAAGCAAAATGAGACACCGCTGCCCATCTATCGCCTCAACTCGCAGCAAATTATTTTATGAAAATTCACTCTTCACCTATGAATACTCTTCCAGTCAGCACTTTACTAGCCTAAAATCAGCCTCGCAGTCTCATTTTTTGTGATTTTTAAGGGTTTTTGTGATTTTTAAGTGTTTTTTTTAAAGGTTCTCAGAGTTTGAGGTACATGAGAAAAATCACTTTCCCCACTGTAAATATTAATCCCATCCAGTGTAGAATATTAGCAGTATTAGTACTTACTCAGCACAGAAGAGACACAGCTTTTACATCTCAAGCTTCACATATCAATAGCCTACACCACACAGCGTGGTGTTGCTAGAATTCCCCTTCAAGAATCTATACTTATCTAATGAAGTCTGAAAATGCTGCAACTGAGCATAAGCTGGGAAAAAAAGCCACCGGTGATTGCACATGGTTCCCTTTGCTGTGTGCCACTACAGGAGCAGGAGCACAACCACTTAAAGGAGAGCACCCAGGCTGCCCCTGGGTCTGCCCAGCTGGGTTTTTATCCCAGTTGGGTATTTGTGGGTTGAATGGAAGGGCAGTACGGGGCTGCCCTCAGGAGCTGGAGCCCCAAACACCGGGTGTCCTCCCTCAAAAACCGAGGAACCAGACCGCTGGCAGGAGCTCGAGGCAGCATCAGGTGGAGCCCTGGCTTGGCCTTGCCCCGGGCGAGCTGAGCCCCGGGCTCACAGCGCTTCCCGGGGGACATTCTGGTCATGGATTCGTTTCTTCATTCTCGCATCAGGTTTTAGCTGCCACCATGTAAAATAAACGTAGAAGTCAATCAAAGCTACATCAGGCTGTTAACACTGCAACTGCCATATATCATTTAGAAAATGAGCCAACATAAGCTCCATTAGGCCCCTAGCTTGGCTGCAGTGCACTTAACATCTATTTTGCCTAATTTATAATGTCACAATCACTCATTTAAACCACATTAACAAAGATTTCCTTTATTTGTCAAGTAACCTCAATATTCATTTTAATATAATGCCTATAAAAATTTCATACGGGCAACAATACAAGTCCATAAGTTTTAAAATCAATGCAGCCCAGCAGTACCGTGCCTTGGTAAAACTATATTGTCATAGTATTAAGTCAAAATTCCACTAGACGTTTTCTGTTTCCAATTTTAAAATTGATATTTTCATAGGTACTATTTATTTTCATAAAAATAACCACAAATACCCTGTATAAAGTACTCATGCCCTAAACGAGATTGTTAAACATCACTCACATTTCTGCAGCAGACTGAGCACCTAATCCTTGTAAAGCATGGGCTCTGAACTACTTCATGTCAGGAAAAAACTGGTCAGTTCTCACTGACAAATTTTAACCTTTTCTGGAGAAGAAAAAATAGATTTCTATGGTTATTTCTCATATATTTTTCCCCCTAAAGCCTCTTCATTAACATGTACTTGAGCAGTTGGGGGCCACCAGAGCCCTGCCCAAACGAGCTGAAGACCTCAGACTGTCCTGCAAAGGCTGAGACCATCCCCTCTCGTGTGCTTACAAGGACCCTGTCACCAGAGCTCCTGAAAACCCCCAGACACCAACAGACATCCTTTCCATCAGCTCTGAGGAAAGTATTTGTGCTCCTTCTCAAATGACAACCTGAGGTTTGAAGTCTGAATGACTTGACCAGAGAAAAGTCTATAATAAAAGCCAAGAAATTAGCTCGAAGGCCCTAAACCCCAGTCTAGGAAACTGTTCTATTAATAGTTTTTATGTGTATCTTGAAGCCCCACATGAACACTGATCTATGAACACTGTGATCCAAAGCGAGAACTCCGGAGGCCAACCACCACATCAAGTTAAACAAGAACTGGGAGGGCTAAATGTTGTTAATCAGGTTTGAGATTATAAATTATTCAGTGACGAACTTGCTAGTCTTCTTATTTGTTCATTAAAAACTACGTCTACTCTCTGTGTATTTTAACGATCTAAACAAAATACTGATCTCAAATGTAGAGGAAGCAGTAAATCGAGATCATGTTCTGCGCTCGGGAAAAGCAAGGTAGTAAAATAAAATTTATCATGTAACTGATGGAATTGCCAAGTTTGGCCGCCTGTTCTATGGGTGGATTTTCAAAAATATACATCCTAGCTTAACAGGCTTAAAGTGGCGACCGTAAAACTTAATTCTTCTCTTAAACCCATAAAACGTTAGCACGTTGATGGCTCCAGTTGTACCGACGCCATCACGTACTGGTGAGCACGGGCAGCAAAAGCAGCTGCCCTGCCCGGGGGCTCCTTCCCCTGCACCCCTCTCCCCCCAGGCAGGCCTGTCCCTCATCAGCCCACGCTTACAGGACCACGTAGGACGAGCCCGCTTTGCCCCACCGAGGGCCACAAACCGCCCCCTCCTCGGCCTCCCAGCTGACCCCTCAGCGCTGCCCATCGACAGAGTCCCATTCCCACTGATCGCCAGACCATTAGTAACATAATAAGCCTCTTTAATAATAATGACATCAAGAAAGCCTTCCTCTGCTCAAACAAGCGCACTGCAAGAAATTACATAAACATATCTTAGTCTAGACAACGGGAGAAGATAATGAAAAATTTAACGTATGACTGAAGGGTCCAGGAAAACACTCCGGTTGTGTAACGAACAAATCTCTCCAGCCCTTCTCCTCCTCTCCCTTGACATCCAGTACTTCTGGTCTGATGGGTAACATGTCAAAGGAACAAAACGTTTTTGCAGCTACAGAATCTGAACAAATCTGTAAAACGATCACAGGCTACAGGAGCCCACACTGCATTCCAGCTTCTAAACAACAGACTTTCACCTCTTCAAAATCATTTCTCCTTATGCATGTGAAAAAGTAGGAATAAATTATACGGAATGGATTATGACTACCGAGAATAATCAACTTCTAATTCTCACATGTAAGTTAAAAGTAAAAATCCTACCGAGTTCAAAAGAAACAACCCAGAGTCCATATATCCTCCAGAAGGATGGAAAATTTTAAAATGGAGCCTAGCACATTCCACAAACAGGAAGGAAGGTTCCCTCTCTGCCTTTGCACATTGAATCATTAGCCGCCCTACACATAAACAATCTGGGATTAAAAGCTGCATTTCACAGAAAAGCAACCATTTCTAAAAAGCTTTCCGTATCCAAATATGCTTTCAGCGCAAATAACGCACTAATGTGAGAAGTGGACTTTTTGCATAAGTTCATCTCGGTTCACAGCATGATCTACCTTAATAGCAACACTCAAAATAAGCAGAAACAAAAGCTGGCTAAAAATGAAATCCAGGGAGACTTCAGAAACAAAAGCATATCCGACTGTACTGGAGCAAAACCTTTTATCCATGTATTTCTTATTTCAGAGAGGAAGAAAATAGCAAACAACAAAAATTTCAGAAACGCTCAGTTTGCTGTCCGCGTATCACAAGTCAACTGAAATAACAGGACAAGTATATTTAGGGAAAAAAACAAAAGTCGGGTTTAAAATTTCGTGAGAGATGCCACTTGGACTCTTTGCTGGTTTAACTGGGACCAACTTCTCGTGGTCCCCGGGAGCACGGTGCAGCCCTTCACCCCACAGTCAGCGGCACAGCAGCCCCTGTGCCAGGCTCAGAGAGAGCTACCAAAGCAGAGACACAATAAAGAAGTTTGGGGAGAGATTTTATTGCAAATACAACGAGCACCTTGATCCCCAGCAACACAAACGGAACCAGCCCAGGTGCTGCTGGGGGCTGTGGGAGGCAGGGTGCTGCGGCACAGCCGTGGGTGCTCAGCAGGCTCTTCTCTGGCAGCCCCATGGGAGAAACTGCCCTTAAAGAAAGACCTGAACAAAACCACCAGTCTGGTGAAGCAGCTCGGAGCACGCTGCGAGCCCAGAAGCAGGCGGAAAGATGGCTATCTGCTTTGTCATCAAACTATAAACTGGGAACAGCACAGGTCGCTCTAACCTGGTCAGCTCCTCCACCTCCCCCAAAAAGGTGGTTATGACAAGTGGGAGCTGAAGAATCTGTTGAAAGGAGCTGCAAGCTGCATCTTGAAGCTCTAGTTACTATAGCCAGCATCCCGGTCTTTCAGACTTGATCAAAGAAATCCACTGAAAAGGAATCTCCAAGGTTAAAATACATTCTGTACTTGAACAGCTCTCGCTGTCCCTGAGCAGGCGCGGGGCACGCGGTCTGACAGGACGGCGCCGTGCAAGGTGGGAAATGCCCACTGGAAAGCACATCTGCTGCAAAAAACAGGAAAGAAACACATTATGTTCTTTTTAAGACAGAAAAGGTGTGTATGGCAAGAGCACCACTCATCCACAATCCTCCCTCCTGGGCGAGCTAGGCCAGAAGCACCAAACCAGGAGGTCCCTGAGACAGGGAGCTCAGCGCAGAGCCAGGGTCTGTCCCTGGCTGAGGCCAGAACCGCACGCCAGTGACGACAGCAAAAGTTACTCCTGCTGTTCCCCTCCACCCTCAACATATCTGTAATATTCTGCGACTCTAAGGATAAGCGTACCCAGCCGAAAAAAACAAACTTCTGTTGGTGTACAACTGTATCTGCAGCCAGACAGCCCGAGAACAGCCCGTCAGGACAGGCAGCCAGGAACACAACCACAACGGACACGGGCACACACAGAAACTACGAGTTATGGAGCAGAATAAAATAAACAGTGTTCTTTTTGACATCTGCTAAAAGTTCTGCTATTAATTTCTAAGATGCACGGATTCTGTCCCCACGGGTTTGTTATACTAAATTATGCAGGAGTTGTTCTGAAAGCATCTCGCACCCAGGAAAGGGAAAGGGTAAAGGAAGATGCGATGGTGTGTATATGTATACATACTCTTACTACTGGAATT